ATACAGTGTAGGAAAGTACCGATGGTCTATCAGAAGTTACGTGAGAGCGATAAAGTAAGCCATAGAAATCCATGTGATAGACAAGGATGGCTATAATGAAGGCGTCTAATAGTCAACGCCCATTTCGCCCTTCCACAAATAAGAAGTGGATCTTATTTGTGGAAGGGCGAAACGGGCGGTGACTAAGAGACGCCTTCATTATAGCCATTCTTCTCTATCGCATGGATATTTATGGCTTACTTTATCGCTCTCACATAACTTTAGATAGACCATCGGTACTTTCCTTCCCTGTATGTATAAAAATTTATACATATATTGTATCGTAGTGAATTAAAAAAATAGTTTTTATGTAACCATGTATATTTTCATACGGGAATAATATTCTGTAATGCAATATATAAATAACAAAATACATACAAACATATAAATAACTAAATAGTACATATAAAACTACTACCCATAGAATAAAATATTATTTGATTTAGCTATAATTAGACTTACGTCCTCATATTGTGTCTCCTTTAAAAAATGACATTCATACATCATATCATAATCATGTAAGAACGTGATTATTAAAATACAATGTTAATTGCACTGAATTGTCCAGTGGTGCAAAAAACAGTTTTCTAGATGTAACATCATCACAGAAGTATACAGAGTTATCGCTGTCGTCATCAGTAAACTTAAAAACTTTCTTTCATATATGCTGTAATATAATACAAGTTGGTTTTTCATAATAAAAAATGTGAAACAGAATAGAGAATCAGTGAATTAATAATAAAATCTATGAATACTGTAGGTATATAGGTACTTGAAGAAATTTACTTGAAGAATTATGATGCCATATTAAAGTTACGGAGTAAACTCCAATTATCTTGATGCAAAATCTCACTGGTTGTTTATTTAAAAATAATTATCTACTTTCTCATTGTAAAATTTTCTTGTCAAGTAAAAGTTTATGAAGATCGCCCTTTGGCTGATTCTTTAGGTATGGGATTGTTAGGTACAATGTAATTTATATTTTTTTTCGGTGCAGCAAGATAAAAAATTATTATAAATAATAAACATTTTTTTTATATTTTTTATGTTAAAAAATGTAGAAAGTTTCTTGCAAGTATTTTAACAGTAATTAAATTTTCCCTATCGCTTTGATGCCTATTCCATCAGCTTCTCCAGAAAGATATTTTACTTCTGCATGTTACCAAATATTATAAGCACCATAATCTATTAAAATAATTACAGAGTATTTGCTAAAGTCTAAGCCAAGAGTCTAAAGCCCCTGGTTTTCGGATATTATTTTCGTGTTGAAATTTAAAAAATATATTTAATTCGAATATCTCTTAAGATATTTGACTTAAAATAAGAAAAGTTGGCTTAATGATGTAATTAGTGAAAGGCAACTGAATTGGTATAGAAGTCTGATAACCAGTGGCGGAGATATTGGGAGCCAGTCATTCAAAATCCCAGAGTTTCAATGCCTCTGGGTAGTTTGGTATTTATTTTTATTTTTGAGTTACTATCTATTAATTTAACTTGTAAGTACTACACACGGTTGAATAAATATAAAGCATATTATATCTTATAGAACAATTCGCTTATCAAAAGGTGTAGGATTTTTTTTTATCAAAATACAATCTTAAATACTGCATGAGTATCAAAGTACAATGTCATAGAAATTTTGAATTTTTTGTTGTCTTAACTATTCAAATAATTAAACATTTTTATGGTATTACAATATTTTATGATTACATTTTATTTAAAATTGCGTTTCTAAAAAAAAATCTTATACATACACACTCTTTGTAATGAAATTTTAGGTTTATTTATACTTATTTATATTTTTATATAATCTTATTTTAACTAAAAAGAATAGGAATAATTTAAAAAATTCTCATTTTTAAATAAAATGGAAACAACATTCAGTAGTGTCATAATTCTGAGGTTCACAATCTCACAATATATCTCCCTCTTGGTTAAGAAATTCAAATAACAATTCAGTAAGCTTTTCATCAAGCAAATTCATTCAGAACCTTATATTTCGAAAATTAGTGGTTAGGCTCTTCATTCATTAAGGCTTTTTGGCCTAA